ATCAGATGTGTGTTATGTATATGAAACAGAGCCTTTTCCTGATTATATCTTGAACCTCCATGAATAATGAAGTCAATTCTGTATCATCTGATATAAATTCAGCAGTTTCAATATGTAAGATAACTCTTTCTGCATACTGTGAATCAGTAACTATATTAAGAGGTTTTTTAAAATCCCTTAGCACCATGAGAATAGCATATAATTCTGCCTTTTGGACAGAATTATAAGGGCTTTGTTCCACCTTACTTAAATCTTCTGATTTGTAACCTGCCTTCCCTGATTTATTTGCATCAGTATAGAATGTACAGGCTCCAGTTATTGGTGTGTCCTATACAATGCAGGGAAGGATCCAAGTAGTTCTCTTTATAAGGTTAATTCTATCACTTTTGGGATAATTGCTATTAATCTCTCCTAAAAATTAGCACAAGCTCTTTTCCAAGGTTCATTGTCTTCCATTATTTTTTAATTTCATCAGCAGTAAAAGGTGCTATAATCTCTGCTGCATCTATACCTGCTAGTTGATGAAGTCTCAATTTTTCTTTTATAATTAATTCAGAGACTGTTTCCACATAAATTTTTAATTTTTACTTGGTTTATGTGGTAAAAAGATCTATCCTAAGATAATATCTTCCCTTTGCATAAAATTCTTGTAGGGGAAATTCTGGAAGGCAATATGACTAGAATACAATTAAGATTTGGATTCACCCTACCCAAATGTGCCTCCAGTAATTTTTCTTCAACAACAATCAATTCTTTTTTTACTTCAGCTATTAATTCTCTGGGACTATGTAAGTCTATGTCATCGTCTAAGGGTTTTTTTTTTAATGAATGATTAGATCAGGTGTTATCCCAACAGCTGGTTGTAGACTGGACATGTCTCCTAACAATCTTTGAAAGTCATTAGGAGTCTGCAATTGGTCTCTCCTAATTTGTGCCTTTTGTGTTCTAATTTTCTGTAAACCTATTTTTATCACTTAGGTAATGACAATCTCCTCTCTGTATTTTTTCAAGAGCAATTTGTAACCCCCATTTTGGCAAAACTTTCTTTACTTCTTCAAACATTTTTTCTTAAGTATTTATGTTTGAATCAGATAGCTAATGTCATCCACGTAATGGTAAATTATAGATTTAGGAAATTTTTTACATATTATTTCCAGTGGTTGACTTACGAAGTATTGGCATAGGGTAGGGATATTGAGCATTCCCTATGGAAGGACAGTCCACTGGCATCTCCTAGTAGGCTGAGAATTATTATAAGTAGGCATCGTAAAGGCCAATTTTTCTCTATCCTTTTCTTGTAAAGGTATAGTGAAGAAACAATCTTTTAAATCAATAACTATAAGAGGCCATCCTTTTGGTAATAGAGAAGGCAGAGGAATTGCAGATTGTAGAGGGGTCATAGCTTGAATTACCTTGTTGACAGCTCTTAGATCTGTCACAATTCTCCATTTACCAAATTTCTTTTTAACAACAAATACAGGAGAATTTCAAGGGCTGGTTGATTCTTCAATATGGTGAGCATCCAATTTCTCCTGTACCAGCTGTTCTAAAGCCTGCAGTTTGTCTTCTGTTAAAGGCACTATTTAACCCATATGGGTTAACCATTTTAAAGGTAGGGCTGTTGGTACCTCTAAAGTTTTGCTAGTTGTTTTATGTTCTTGTACAGTCTGAATGGCTGGTGACCTTTGTGTATAGTACCTTATAATATCCTTCCCAGAATTATGAGTTTCTGGGACTGCAGGAATGTTAATCCTGGTATTCCTTTGCTGCAGCAGGTCAGGACCCCATAAATTCACTGCAATATTAGACACATACAGCCTCAGCCCTCCTCTGTGTCCTTCTGGCCCTATGCATTCAGCCCATCTTGTACTTTGTTTCTCTTGAGATATGGTTCCAATTCCTAGGAACTGAACATCTGCCTTTTGAAGAGGCCAATTTGGATGCCAAGATTCTGGAGTAATGATACTCACGTCCGTACCCATGTCTATCAAACCCACAACTACAGTGCCATTTATACACACCCTTAGCTTTGGTCTTTGATCATTTATAGAAGTCTGCCAGAATGTGCATTTCCTATTTCCTGATGGAATTTTTGATTTATCCTCCATATTTATTCTGTCCTCCAGAACAGCATGGTCTTTTACAGAAGGCTCTGGATTTTTTAATTTTTCTTGTGAGACATGTCTTCCACAGTGACTGGGAATGACTGGATCATTTTTGACTTGAGGGCCTCTTGAGAGACCCCCCCAAGGAGTTTCCCAATGGTATGGGGTTGCCTTGTCTGTCTTTTATTGATCTGCATTCATTGGTCCAATGTCGACCTTTGCCACACCTTCTATATATACCTGAAGGCTGAGTCTTCCTGTTCTTGCCATTCCCAGAGCAGATATTATTCCTAGGAATTCCCTATCTACAATCCCTTCTCAGATGTCCTATTCTACAACAGTTAAAACATTTGGCATTTTGATGCCTCCTCATACCTTTGGAAATTGCTTCTCTTGCCCAAGATTCAGTATTATAGTTAAATGTCTCAATGTTCATTGTATGCAGGATCCATTCATCCATAGGTGCTGATCTAACATTTAAAGGCCCAAGTATATTTTGCATACTAAGCTGACATTTTCAAAACCCAGAGATTCAATAAGTACTCATCTAGCATCTGGGTCTGTTACTCCTATTTGTACAGCCTTAGTTAATCTTTGTAAGAAGTCACTAAAGGGTTCTCTCTGGCCCTGTTTATTTTCCTAGTTCCTGAATCCTGTCCCAAGCATTTAAGGCTGTTTTGTGGCATAGGGACAAGATTTGTTCATTGTAAAGAGCTTGAGCTTGTGGGTCAGCATAAGTGCTCTTACCAAGAATTTGATCTTGGGAAGTCTCAAGTTTTTTTGCTTTTCCCCGTTGTTCTAAAATTTTAGCATCTTCCCTGAAATAACATTTAAACATCAGTTGAGGCCCATCATTGGGGATTGCTGAAACTAACTGAAGCCAGTTAGTGGTGTAACTTTAATTCTAGAAGCCCATGTCTTTACCATCTCCCTAACAAATGCGAAATACAAGCCATAAATTACAACACCTTGTTTAATTTCTTTTAGATAATTCATTCCTATAGGTATCCATCTACCTTCTTTGGATCCTTTTGGACCTTTAGAACTTGATGCTTTGTCAGAGTAGATTACAGGGTAGGAAGTAAAACCCTGGGTAAGTTATCTCTTACCCAGCTATGTTTAATCTTGTCCTTGTACCTTTATCCCCTGCTCATCAGCTCAAATAATTTCCAAAATCATTTCAAATCTTTTTACTACTGTGTTTTATAAAACTGGAATCTCCTAGCCTGTATATATCTCAGTGATTTCATTGAGGCATTTAGCTTCTGGTTCTCATTCTGCACATGTGATTCCAAGGTCTGAAATTTTTCCTTAAAAATAACATCCCATCTTTGGATATTGTTTGGATAGCATGCAGATTGCCATCCTGGAGAGATACTCTATCTGCTATCCTAAAATTCTTGATGGCAATATTGTCTGCAATTATATTACTTTCAAGTTTATTGATTTATTAATAAAATATTTACCTGGTATGAGGTCCAGTAAATTATCTTAGGGGTAATAATCTTCATTGTTCAGCAGTTGTCGTGTTGTGGTTGCAGAGTGGCGGCAGTGGCGATATGAAAGGTCCTGAGCCGCTTTGGTTTTTCCCCTTGGTGCTGGTTAAATACTGAGAAATGTGCTTTGCCTGACAAATTAAAAGCAATTAAATCAATTCCATACGTGGAGCAAGCAGCCCAGAACTCACGGGCAAGGAGCACAAACAAGAAGCTGTGTAAGTCGCCATGAGGCAGGGAACGTGGGGTGGGGAGTGCATGAGCTTGGGAAATTTCCAAGTCGCCACAGGCAGTTAGCTCTGCTGTGGTGGGGTTTTTATATATAAAAAAAAAAAAAAANAAAAAAAACACTTAGGTAGAAGCAAACAAGCAGGCAGGGGTGGGAAACTTTCTGGGCTGTGGACTGCCTAGGCCTTTAAGCCAGTCCACCCAGTAGGTGTGGAATTCGGATCCACATGGGGCACCAGATGAAGATGGATGCTTAAAAGAAATCCCACACCACTCAGAATTGAGCATAATAGAGGGTTGTTTATTTAGGGGTATCACAAATCACGGTCCTCTGCTTAAACGGGAAACAGCAACCGAATCCCATGGCCAGAAGAGAGACCTGAAGCACACTTTACCTCGGCATATGTAGCATAAGAGGCCACACCCAAGTGGGTGGGTAACTTCAAGCCTACTAGCTGTAGGAATTCCTACAGCACGCCTCTGCCCTCCATGTGCTGGGACTCATAGTGTGTACAATCGTGACACCCCTCACATGGCTTTTTATAATACCTGTCATACATGACTGCTGCCACACAGCTCAGAAACACAGTAAGAGCTCCCGGGACACAGCATCCTGGAAACGGGCAGCTTGTAGCTCAGCTAAGACCTGCCCAGGAGTCTGACTGACAGCTTTACTCTACCTAATCCACGCTTACATTAAAGCCCCATGGGCCAGTGCTGTGGGGGTAACAGACCCCCATCCCCCTCATTGTCCACCCACCCCGCTGACACAGAATTACCTGGTAACTCTGGCTTGGCCTGGACCTGTGCTTCTACGGTGCCCCTTTTTTTGCATTTGTTTCCAGGGGCACCTTTTGGCATTTGCTCTCTGGCTGGGTCCTTACTCCCTTGTGCAATCAGGCTCTGGTGGCCAGTGCTATGATGAATGGGCTTCCTCAGGCAAGCAGGCAGTGACTGAAGCCCTGCCAGCTGTGTGGCCTCAGCTTGCACCGCACTCCCCCAGGATGAGCCTGTGTGTCACAGCACTGGGCAGCAGTTCCTGGAGGCAGCGAGCCCTTTGCTCGAGCCATGGCCTCTCAAGTGGTTATAATTTCATTTGGCTGCTAATTGGTTGGCCTGTTGCATCACACTGCCTTGACCCCTCCTTTATACTGGATTTTTTTTTTTCCAGGAATACTTGTGTGAGGATGAAGCTATCTCAGAATGACTGATGTGAATGATGAAAACAAGGCTGCTGTTTTAGCAGGGAACATCTGTCCTCTTGCTGGTCCAGAGGAGGAGGGACCAATGCGGTAGCCTGTGAGCCCAGCACCTGAACCTTGGTGGAGAGCAGGGTCAGTCTTATTTTAAAATTCACTTTAAATTAACATGTATATGTGTGTATGAAAGAGAGACAGAGAGAAAGAGAGAGAGAGAATGAACAACTTGCAAAATCCATGGTCTCTTCTTTTATTGTGTGAGTTCCAGAAATTGAACTCAGGTCACCAGGTTTGGCAGCAAGCTCTTTTACCTGCTGAGCCATCTTGCTTGTCTTCATTTAGCACATTAAAAATGTTTACTCTTATTTTATGCACATGAATGTTTACCTGCATGTATGTAATTGTAAACACCACATGTGCCTGGTGCCCAAAGAAGGCAGAGGAAGTAATAAGAGCCCTTTGAACAGGAATTAGAGACAGTTGTGCGCTGAGAACCGAGCCCAGGACCTAGGAGCTGTCTCTCCAGTTCTCATTCAACACTTTTTTAAGTGAACACATGTTGTGTGCCAGGCACTGGGTATATGACATTAATCAATATAGACAACAAGCTTGGCCCTCATAAGGCAGATCTTGTGTGATGAGAGTGGGTGTGTCACAAACTACTATCAGAAAGAAAGGGGGAGAAGAACCCGACCTCAGGGACACTTCTCAGTACCCACACAGCCCCCAGCTGAGTCTCAAGTTTGACTCTCACATCCCAGATGTATGTGATAAGGACTACTGTATAGAAAGATCCCCCTAGAGTCACCCCCAAATCTTTGTGTTTGGAGACAGGGTTACTCTGTGAAACAGTCCTGGAAATCACTGTGTAGGCCAGGCTGGCCTTGAACTCACAGAGATCCGCCTCTTCCTCCCAAGTGCTGAGATTAAAGGCGTGTGCCACTATCGCCCCGCCTCACTCCCAAACCTTGATGGCAGACGAGCTGTTGCCCAGGTGGACTCCATCTCCCCTGCCGGAACATCCTGTCTGCCAGGGCATTTTCTCCTCTGTCTCTCCAATCCTGACTGTAAAACCAGATATTCCAGTCTACACTGTACAGTGGGGCGGTCAGTCGGCTGACAGACCAGGACAGACCTGGCAGCCTGGGCCTGTGCCAGAGGGGCAAGGAGCCGCACCTCACCCTCAGTTAGAACAAGAACAGTCCTTTCAACCATTGCCTTATTACCCTGGAGCAGAATCACCTTCAAGAATCTCTTGTCTTTTTTCAGTCACCCAGTTTCTTTGACTGAGACATACTCCGAATTTGTTATTTGTTGTTGTTGATGGTGGTATTTTCTTTGTTTGAGGCAGGTTTTCCTGTGGCTCAGGCTGGCCTTGAACTCATATAGTTGAAGATAATCTTGAATTCCTCATCCTCCGGCCTCCACCTCTCAAGTGGGGATTATAGGCAGGTGTCATCATGCCTAGTTTTATTGCAGTGCTCGGGATTGAGAGCCCAGGGCTCGGTCCATGCTGGGCAAGCACTCTGCCAGCTGATTGGTGCTCATCACTTGTCGCCTGAACACAGGGAGGGCTGGGGTCTAGTGATGCCCGTGTTCCATATCCCGGGATCTGGGCGCTGCTTGGCCCTGCCCACATTGCATTGCACAGCTTTCTGCATTTTGTTTCAGCAAAGCCCACCTGCCCATCATTGCCTGACCACTTTTCATTTTGCATCCTGGGCCTTTGCTGGGTTATCATTCTTGTCTGGATGTGTTTTCCCTGGTTTGCCAGTTCACTGTCAGTGACCAAGCTGGGTGACTGTGGACGACTCCACCCTTTCTACCTCTGATGTGTCTCAGAGGACCCACAGTTCTGTGGTTTTGGAGTGCAGGTAGCTGGGTATAGACCTTCTCTTCTGATTGACTCTATGGTCTCTAGAGCTTGGCAAAGCGTATGACATACAGTAGGTGCTTAATCATGACTAAAAATGAAGTGAAAAGTGAGAAGGTCACAAAAGAGAAGACAAAGATGGAGAGCAAGCCCAGGGTCAGAGGAAGAAGGGATGGGGCTGCCATCTTGTTACACTGCAGGAAGAGTTGGCTGACTTGGCTCCCCTTTCTTCCTTTCTCTTCTAGCTAACACTTCAGTTGCCTCAGCCCTTGTTCCCACGTCAGTCTCATTTCCATCCTTTTAATCATCTTGTTCTTCATGACCCTTCTTGGTGAGGCCAGACTTTTCTTGCTGTTCTGACATCTAAGAGATGCTACATCTGGTCAGATATGATGGGATTTGGGGGAGACACGCTGAACACCCACAATTTCTAGCTCCTCTGTTTACAACAGTTCCTTTCTGGCTGATGGAAGCCCTCCCCTGGATCAAACCTGTACCACCCGTTTGTTCTCATCAGCCAACTCCAGCCCACTCCATCTCTCCAGGGGAGGCTTCTTGGACCAGTTCCTGGTTTCTCTCATGCTTCAGCAGCCCAGCACACTCCTGTTGTGTTCACTGAGGCCTTTGTCTTCTGACCTGAATGTTTGTGCGTCAACCAGTTAATCAGATGTCATTGAGGGGCAGGAACTGCTGCGGCTGAAGGGGATTCAAGAAAACAAGGCAGGGCCCCTGTGCTTAGAGGGTGTTCATGGGTGGGAAGGGCAGGTTAGTGCAGAAGTTTGCATATTGGACGTCATCTTATAGCTTCAAGACCTGTGTGGAGCCTGTTATATAGCAAGGGCAATCAGAAACACCTCAAGACCTCACTGTGCCCTTTTCTGCCTTCCTATGCTATCCCTTTGGCAGCTGTTCAGAGTCCAGGGAGTAAACTGCTTGGGAAAAATTTGGTGACTTTAATACTTGGCCACATCCAGATCTCCCTTGGTGACGGCTGGTCTAGGACCATGAACTTAAGAGTTGTTGGAGACTGAATTTAGGATCTGACCCACCCACACTCAAAGCCTGGTAATGCCATAGCTTGAGCCTTGGGGAAATTGCCACAGTTTGCCTCAGCTTCTCTCCTGTCAAGTAGAACACGAGTCCCTGGCTCATGTGCTAGCCACGAATCAACTGGTGCCCACCCTTCAAGAGAAGCAGCAAGAGGGTTGGTCACAAAGGAGAGAACGGGAAAGGCAGGCAGTAAGCCAGAAAGGTGAGTGGCACTGCTGGAGTTGAGAAGGCCAACACCGTGTTCTGGGGCACTTGCTGCGCACTGGCCCTCTGCTCAAAGCCTCATAAGGCCCAGATTACAGCGAGAGAGAGCCTAAAGGGATTAAAGAATCTGTCTGACATCGCTCAAAGCCAGGATTTCAATCCTAACTCCCGGCTACCAAACCCTGCCCCATCCCTCTCCAGTGCTGCCAGTGAGGGCTGAGAAGCCAGGATCTGTCCCAGCAGGGCCTGAGGTGTAGGGCCTGCACGATGAGAGGGTATGCGAGCCGGGAACTAGGCTGGAGATTTAAAAACACATGCACACAGACAGAGACACGGGGACACAGGTCATCCTTGAAACAAGAATGCCAACTTTATTGTACTCCAGGAAAGCCTATATAGGGATCCTTAACCAATAGCCACGCCCCAGCTCTTGGGATTTTCAGCTGTAAAACCCACCAGAATTCACTCGCCCGCCATTAGGAACTCATGAGGCCTCATGCTCAGAGCGGCTGCAGGCACAGGAAAACAGGTTGTTTCATTCCAGCAGGCAAAGGGTCCAAGGCAGGGAAAGAAAGTCAAGGGGTCAGGGGCCCGCAGCCCCCAACACTGAGGCAGACAGAGATCCTCTTAGTGTGAACTCTCCACACCCACCTCTGTAAAATGCTAATGAGCTGCCAACTCCAAACAGCTATGGTCATGTGACCAGCGGCCCTCCTTGTTCTCCAGAACTCTGCAGGAAACACTAAGAACTGGAAATGCCTCTGTCCCTTCAGCTGAACTGTTGGGACAGTTCCATGATAAGTGGGCTATGAGGAAGAAATTCATCAGACTTATCCCTGTGGGAGGAGCATGAGGGACAGCCGTCAGGCTGATGCCCCCCAACAAGCTGTCCTGGGTCTGATTTCCTCCCTCATTGCAGACCTGAGACCTAACACAGGTGGGGACAGCAGGAGGGAAAGCTGTGACCAGCTAGGGAGAAAGAATTTTCTTAAATTTCACACTAAACATGTGGGTCTAGAATTACCTTTTTGTTTGCTACCTTGTGTCCCAGGAGGCTAGAGCTTGCCCTCCCCAGGATGGGTCAGCCAGCAGATATTTCAGAGCCTGGGAGAGATTTCCTGTTCTGCCTTTGAGTCAGAAGATGACAAGAGAGAAAGAGAGAGAGAGAGAGAGAGAGAGAGAGAGAGAGAGAGAGAGAGAGAGAGAGAGAGAGNTCAAAGCTTAGTAGAAAACAGAGAAAGAGAGAGAGAGAGAGAGAGAGAGAGAGAGAGAGAGAGAGAGAGAGAGAGAAATAGCTCTAAATGCATCAGTTCTTCTGAGACTGGGATTGTTCTTTTCTCTTAAAATTGTGTAACACCATTTTCATGAGGAAAAATGTAGTCTTCAGAATTAGTCATAGACTCGGCCACTGAGAGGAGCCGTGTGGGAAATACCTTCAAGGAGTAGGTAGCCATCTCTTCAGAAATATCTGCTATTCTCCACGCAAGGCTGGGCTCTCCTGCTGTGGTGGGCAGGCAGTGTGAGTGTTAGGGATCTGATTGGTACTTTAAATGGACCCAAGATTGTAAATGGAGACTGTGTTTTCATTTCCTGACCGCCCAGTCCCAGATAATCACACAAAACTATATTCATTACAACACTGTTTGGCTGTTGGATCAGGCATATTTCTAGCTAGCTCTTATATTTTAAATTAACCCATTTCGAGGCTGTGGCTTACTGGTAAGATTCTGGGGTCTTTCTCCTTTGTCAGCTTCTACCTTCTTTCTCCCTGCATTCAGTTTGGTTTTCCCACCTAGCTATATTCTGCCCTACAATAGGTCAAAGCAGATTCTTTATTAACCAATGGTAATAAACATATTCACAGCATACGGAGGGGAATCCCACATCACAAAATGGACCAGGTGAAAGCTAGAAGTCACAAAGGAAGCACCGAGCAACAGCCATGGAGTATATAGTACCAGTTTCTATGACACTCACTCCCCTCTTAGAAGAAACTGTCCGGATTTTTCTCACATCCTAGTGTCTCCTTATTCTAATCATAATTGTATCATGATGTTACTTCTGAACCCAAACTGTATTAGAAGCACGCACATTGGAAGAGGTCGCACCCTAGAGGTGTGATACTTAACCAAATTTTGGGAGGGAAGACCTCTGAAAATCTGACAGAGGCTGTAAACTAGAGACGTGCATGATGGGGCTGGAGAGGG